ATGATGATGATGATGAGGAGGAGGAGGAGAGAGGAGGAGGAGGAGGAGGAGGAGGAGGAGAAGGAGCAGGAGGAGGGAGGAGGGAGGTGGAGCAGGAGGAGGAGCGAGGAGCGAGGAGGAGGAGGATGAGGAGGAGGAGGAGAAGGAGGGGGTGAGGAGGAGGAGGATGAGGAGCAGGAGAAGGAGAAGGGAGGAGGAGGAGGAGGAGGAGGAGGAGGGGAGGAGGAGGAGGAGGAGGAGGAGGAGGAAGAAGAGGAGGAGGAGGAGGAGGAGGAGGAGGAGGAGGCCAGCGGAAGCCAAACAGGGGCGGCGCTCACACCTGCGGAAGCCCGCGGGCATGAAGAAAAAACGCCATGGCCATAACGTTTTGGCGCTCCGCGCTGATTTCTGAGATAGACCAGATCCATGAAATTTCTGCGCTGATTTTGGCGCTCCGCCCACGGCGCGCTCCGCGCACCAGGGAGGGGGTCCAGACCAGATCCATGAAATCCGCGCGGAGCGCCAAACAACCCAAGAGAGGGCCACCGTTTTGGGTCCAGGCTCTGTGGAACTGGCCATGTATTCTAGGCCTCCTAGATGTGGTCAGCGTAGGTGGGGTCGGAGGATCGTGCCGCATCGCCGATGCATCGCCGATGTATCGGCGATGCGACGAGACTCCGACCCCATCTACACAGACCCCATCTCGGAGGCCTCTATGTATGGGCAAAGCCCGGACGGGGCTAGGACGAGGACAGCTCCGTTCCAGAGCGTTCCGAAACGCTTTGAGGGCGTTCCACAGCGCTCGGAGAAGGCCGCGGCGCTGGAGACGTCCTCCAGAGCCGGCGGATCTCAAGGATTCTCTATCTACGTTCACCCGATTTTATCCTCGTCCTGGCTTCGCCTCCACAGTTCCATATGAGCGACCCCCCAAAAAACGGGGTCGTTTGCGCCGACGTTGCGCAAGCTGCCCGCGTCAGGTCGCGCGTCAGTGCCCCCGTCTTCATGTGGCGTGCCGCGCGGGCGGCCCGCGGAAGCCAGCGCGTGAGGCCGCTGTGTCATCTCGCGTACGCGTTTTTGATCGTCGCTCACGTGGTGAGCAAAATCGCGGCGTCGGACTTCCGGAACTGAGACATGCATATAGGACGTCCCAGGAAAGGATCCGCCTTCGTCGTTCTCAGCGGAAGGCCAGCGGAGGCTGGCGCACAAGGTAGCGGCGGGTCCGCCATGGTAAGTCGACGTTCGGTGGAGGGCTGTGGAAGCAAAAGCGAGGCAGTGTGCTTCCAGCGCTCCAGCGCCACCGCCGCGAGTTCCTGGCGAGAGCCAGCGTTTTGCAGGGTTGAGAGGGGCTGCGGCATCGCGCGCCTTGTCCCAAACAGTCACATCCAAGAAGACCTATAGAACAACAGTAATAGTAGTAATACGAGTCGTAGTAAGAATGAGAATGCGAATTATAATGATAACAATCACCATGCTCATATTAATATCATTGATAGAGCGAGGAATAGTTTTAGAATTCTTTTTATTGTTATAATCAGCACACTGATTTTAATCGTAATCATAATGCGAATACTCCACTACTACGAGTTATCATGTGAATAGTCATAATAACCATACGGATAATCATAGTAATGATAATCATCAGGAGGGAAAAACCACACAGACACAAATAATCGCCGACTCCCGAGAAAATGTGGGAAAATGTGGGAAGTGGGAGAGAAGAGGAGAGAAGACGAAAACCCAGAAAATATATGAACATCTTGGGAATCCTACGATTTGTGTGTGTTTGTCGTGTGTCCCAGGGCCCCTCTACATGAGAGCAATATTTGTAGTAAGACTGAGCTGTGCTGGATGGACCTGTGCTGGACCTGCGCTGTGCTGGATGTCTTGGATCTGTGCTGGACCCGCGCGCCAGGGGCGGCGCCGGAGCCGCCGCCCAGACACCAGATCCAAGAACTCCCCGCGGACCGTCAAGAGTTTATGCTCATGTCGTGTCCTCTTCCTCCACCTCCAACAAGGGGGCACGCGCTTCGCCGCGTGAGCCCGCACCAGCGCCTCGCTCGCTCGCTCGCTCCATAGAGCTCCCCCAGCAGCAGCTCCGTGTCCCACCCACGCAGGATCGCTCGAGGTCCGCCAGATGCGGACGGCGGGTGCCCAGCAGCGGGACGGGAAGCCGCTTCCGCGGCATGTCTCGGACGTGTGTATCTCGCAGGTTGATAGACCTCCTACCCTGACACGTCGATTAGGGAATTGGCCGTCTTCGGTTCGCGAGAGGGCGTCGCGGCCGTCATTGTTGCGGGTCGAGGTCCTCCAGCAAGTTCAGAGAAGTTGCTTTGGATCGCAAGTCTCGTTATGCTGGTTACAAGCTGCTCGTTTGGGCTAGGGCCCTTCGAGAGTTCTTTGTGAGCAAAGTGAGATGTCGCAGGCTCTCGAGAGGAATTCCTAGTTCTCGCTTCGTGCACGATTCCTGGGGCACGAGCCATACGAACCCTTGGAGCTGTCCCGAATTGTCCAGACGAGTGTGCTCGGCGCCATGGCGAGAGACACATGTTGGAAGGGAGCCGCCCTCCGTCCCTGAAGCTGCCACAAGCGTGCACGATGAAGGTGCGGGGCGCTCCGCCGAGATCCACAAACGAGACGTGCCCGACCTCCACCCCCGAGCCTGCTGCAACTCTCGGCGGCGAGCTCTGGGGGGGAAGCGGGAAGGGGCGCGCCTCCCCAGAAGGCTCGGAAGTCCCCCGGCCTTCTGAACAATTCTCGAAGCTTGCCTGGAAGACACAGAAGACTCTCAGAAGACGCGAGGGCTTCTGAGAAGCCCCGCCGCCTTCTGAGAGGGCCTTCTCCTTCCCATTTCCCCCCTTCGCTCGCCGCCGAATTTGTTAAGATGAATGCTCGCGGCGCTCAGGCGAAAACCACATGTTGAAAAGGAACCGCCCTCCATCCGTGCGATTACGGTACACTTTTAAAAGGTGGGCGCGCGAGGCGTTATAGGGCGAGAGCCATATGTTGAAGACCAACCCGCCCCCCATCTTCGAAATTGCTGCAGATGTCGAGCCGGGGGAGGAGGGAAGGGGAGGAGGAGGAGGAGGAGGAGGAGGAGGAGGAGGAGGAGGAGGAGGAGGAGGAGGGAGGAGGGAGGAGGGAGGAGGAAGCAGGGAGCAGGGAGCAGGGAGCAGGGAGCAGGGAGCAGGGAGCAGGGAGGAGGGAGGAGGGAGGAGGGAGGGAGGAGGGAGGAGGAGGAGGAGGAGGAGGAGGAGCAGGAGCAGGAGGAGAAGCAGGAGCAAGGAGGAGGAGGGGGAGGAGGAGGAGCAGGAGGAGGGGGAGCAGGAGGAGGTGAGGAGGAGGAGGAGGAGGAGGAGGAGGAGGAGGAGGAGAAAGAGGAGGAGGAGTTGATTTCACCAGCGCTGCACTGCCCACAGTTAAGCGAGCGACAAATTGAAGGGCTCCACCTGTACGTGGGCCAACTTAGGGTGTTTTCCCTTACAAATCTTGTTCCAGGACGCGACGTTGCAGTTTGAAATAGCTTTCTTCTTCGAGAGAGCTGAATCAGACATGTAACCTTTTGAGATGTTACGGAACTGGCCTCCCGAAGCGTAAGCCTACATCTGGAACAGGCATATATCAACGTACCGTCGGTGCAGGAAAAGACCTTACGCGAGTGCTTACGCAGCCCAATCTCGAGGCAGCAGCGGGCAGCTCGCCAGAACAGTTGTCGATTGGAGGCGTCAGCGGAGGAGTGGAGAGACAGGGGCGAAGATCAGGACGGTGATCCTGCTCCTGCTGATGATGTACATCGTCGGCGTGTGGTTCCTCCAATCTGTTACCGACCATTTCCTGGCGAAGGGAAGCGACTTCATCCCGAGCACGGGGGAGGACATCACCTGTTCCTCCCCCTCTCTCCTCCTCCTCCTCCTTCTCCTCCTCCTCCTCCTGCATTTCCTCCTCCCACTCCTCATCCTAATCCTCCTCCTCCTCCTCCTCCTCCTCCTCCTCATCATCATCATCATCATCATCATCATCATCATCATCGTCATCAGCATCAGCATCAGCATCAGCATCAGCATCAGCATCAGCATCATCATCATCATCATCATCATCATCATCATCATCATCATCATCATCATCATCATCATCATCATCAGCATCAGCATCATCATCATCAGCATCATCATAATCATCATCCGTAGCCATTTTGGCTCAAGCCGCTTTGGCTCGAGCATTTGCACGTCCCCGCGGTTTCTCGGCGCACGTGCGCTGACCGCTCCCGCTCTGGCACGTCGCATGGTGGTGCTCGCTCGGCTCGAGTGGATTCGACGGCAAATTCTGGACGGTGCCGCTGTTCACATCGGCGCTGGAGCCGCTGGGACTTCGGACAGGGCGAAAATCAAGTTCACGGTCAAGCTCGGAGTGCAGCAGGGCTTCATCACTCAACAGGTGCAGCTTTTTGTTGCTGGATGCGTTATGCCGCCTGGACAGCGTTCGTCATGGGGTGGATCGTGGCCATCGGCACTCTGACGGGACGTGCGGGATCGGTGTTTGGCTGTCGAGGCGATCTGGCGCTCCTCTTCCTCATGAGGTTCGGCCCCCTGGAGGTGGCCCCCCTGGCGATGGTGATGATGACGCTGGTCCTGATGACCAACAAGATGGAGGTGATCGTGGCGAGGGGCGTGATCGCGGTGGCGGCCTTCGTCGTGCTGCGGACCCCTGGGCTACCCCTGGTCGTGACCCATGGTCGAGTTGTCAGCGGCCCAAGGCTCAACGGACTCGTCCGACCTGTTCTGGCTCTCCTCTGACTGCTGCTCCAGAGCCGCGTGTTCATAGAGTACGTGATGATGGTGGTCATGTGTGTACCGATCTTCTTCCCAAAGCCGCGGATGGTCGTGGAGATTTCCTCCGTGCTGGTGCTGGTGCAATTCGTCCCATTCTTCCTGGTAGTCGTGGTCATGCTCGTGTTGTTCTAGATCGACCGTTCTCGGACTTGGATCGCGCTAGTCTTCCTGTGCTTGGGCTTTCTCGTCGGCGTGATGGTGGCGCTGGGAATCGTGGCGCTTGTATTGGAGCCACTGCAGATCCTCGTGGAGCTCACCCCGTGCCTGGTCGTGACGACCGTCTTCTCCCGGAGCTACCGTGCATGCCGGCCAGGGCTTTGGTTGGTGCAGGCGCTGCTCATCATCTTCCTGGACTTCTGCATGGAGATCGGCATCGACTTTTTCTTCCGTCGGTTCTTCGATTTCCTGCTCTTGAGGGTGCTGTCCTTGCTGGCCATATCATTGACGATTATCGTAACGCTGCAGCATGTGCGCGCCAGGCCGAGGAGCGTGCCACTCGTGAGTACACCGCGCAGCTAGTCTATAGAGCGGCCTGTGCTGTTGATCGCCGCCACTTGCGTCTTGTCTGCACTGATGTGTGTAGGCGTGCTGCCTTGTGTGCTGATGCTCGGCAGTCTCTGGCCCTGCGCACTGCCTTACTTCCCCTTATCGAGCAGGTGCAGCTAGTCAGCTTAACGATGCAACACTTCAGCGCACAGAATCAGCAACATATAGAACATATGCAAGAATTGGGTTCCTCAGCAGTGGAGCGGTGAAAAAAATCGTCATCATCATCATCATCATCACCATCATCATCATCATCAGCATCATCATCAGCATCGTCATCATCATCATCATCGTCATCATCATCATCATCATCACCATCGTCATCATCATCATCACCATCATCATCATCATCATCATCATCATCATCATCATCATCATCATCATATGTAACATCATCAACATCATCAGCATCAACATCATCATCAGCATGATCATCAGCTTCATCACCCTCATCCTCATCCTCATCGTCATCCTCCTCCTCCTTCTCATCCTCCTCCACCTCCTCTTTTCTCCTCGCCCCTCCTGACCTGTCCCTTCTCCATCCTCGCCCTCTCCGTTCCGCTCCTCGGCCCCGCCTCTCCTTCTCCAGGACTCCTTCTGCGGGCAAGCTTCGCTGCCGCCCCGGACTCTGACCCCCCTCGGGTCCCCAGAGGCCCCCAGCCTCCAGAGACCTCCGGAGGCCCGACGAGCGCCAAAAACGTTCGAAAACACCGCCCCCCCAACCTTCGAGGGTCGAGGGCAAAACTGGGCACTTCCTCTTCTGTCCTCCTGGTCCTCCTCCTCCACCTCTTCCTCCACCTCCTCCACCTCCTCCTCCACCTCCTCCTCCTTCTCCTCCTTCTCCTTCATCTTCGTCCTCCTCTTCGTTTTCGTCGTCCCCGTCCTACCTCCGAGGGGATGGGTAGAGGCGGGGGAGGATAGCGAGGGAGGAGGAGTGAGGGGGAGGAGGAGGCGGAGGAGGAGGAGGAGGACGAGGAGGAGGACAAGGAGGAGGAGGAGGAGGAGGAGGAGGACGAGGAGGACAAGGAGGAGTAGGAGGAGGACGAGGAGGAGGTTTAGGCCCAGTTCCAGACAGGAGTTTAGCTGTGCCCCCTTGCTGGCACCGCAGCCAGATGCAACAGCCCAGCGCTCGGCAGAGGCTGCTTTCATGCATGTCGCAGATGTCATTCCGTAATGTAGACGAAGCATCGTTCGAGCAGGCATTGTCTTGAACTGTGCTGAGATCGCCTAATTGGTGGTGAGTAAATGAATGAATGACTGGCTGACTGACTGACTGACTGAATGGATGAATGAACGAATGAATGAATGCGGAGGAGGAGGAGTAGGAGGAGGAGGGGAGTAAGTACACGAATTATAGTCAGAAGAAGAAGAAAAGAGAGGATGACGACGAGGACGATGACAACGATCGCGATACGGAGACTCGTTTGGTGGACATGGGAGGGCGGAAGAGGAGCAAGGAGGAAGAGGGGGATAAGGAACACCGTGCGAGGAGGAGCGTGGAGGAGGAGGAAGAGGAGAAGAGGAGGAGCGAAGAGCGAGGAGGAAGGGAAGGAGGTGGAGGAGGAGGAGAAGGAGGAAGAATAAGAGGACTAAAACAATGGAGCGATGAGCAGGAGGGAGAGGAGAAGGAGAATGAGTAGGATGATGATAGTTGAGCGAGGAGGGGGATGGGGAGGAGGTGGTGGTGGAGGAGGACAACGGGAGGCGAAGGACGGCACAGAGGGGGTGGAAGGCAAGCTCGACGCGATCGCGTTATACATGACGTCCTACCCTTCCCTCCCATCCCTGACCATGGCGTAAATATCCTCTATATATTCGCACAGTCAGATGTCGAACAGGGCAATGATCGCGAGAGTGTACGCGATGCCTGGAAGGGCAAGGCATGGCATGGTGTAGAAGAGCACGGCAGAGCGTAGCACACCATAGCATGGCGTGGCATTGCGCAGTGAAGCATTGCATACAACAGCATTGCAACGCAAAGCATGGCATCGCACAGCGGCGCAAAACGCAACACCTCACAGCATGTCATGGCATGGCGCTGGGTTCCCTGGAGGGCAAGTGGATCGTCTTCGAGAGGCCTGGGCCGGTCTGGAGTCGTGGCCTCATGTCTAGCTATTTGGGCCCCCCGAGAAGCTCCACACAAGGCGGGGCCGATGGAGAGCACCCGGTGGCTCTGCTTCCAACATCGCCTCCTCAAAGCAGAAACGGGACCCCGTTTGATACTTCCTGAAAACGACGACGCCCCAAAGTGGAGGTGGCCCACACAATTCATGAATCGTCACCGAATGTGTAATCACTTCCTTTGGTTTTTTTCGGGAGGCATTTTCTAGATTTTGAGGCCCATCTGGAAGGACCGGAAAAGCCCGCGCTGCAGCGGGAGCACGATTTGGAACAACCAGAGGCTCAGAAATGGTGCCAGCGCTTCAGCGGGAGAAGCACTTTGACAAAACAAATCCAAGCGAAAACCCATTTCTTGGGAATCTTGCGTGCAAAAAAATCAGTACGCGAAGGTGGGCCGGATATTTTCTGGACGTCATCAGGGGAGAAAGGAGAGTAGTATTCATATGGTGTAATTGTGGACAAGGCGGAGGAGGCGGAGGGGGCGGAGGAAGTAGAGCAGGTGAAGGCACGAGGAGAAAAGCAAGATGATGAGGACGGTTCAGGAGGAGGAGGACGACGTCGAGGACGAGGACGAGGACGAAAACAATGACGAAGATAAGGATAAGCTCAGGGAGCACTTCCACTCCCTCGGCCAGACGATCCTGTCGCTGTGGCAGGCATGCTCCGGGGTCGTCGACTGCAGCAAAGCGGCAAGCGCCTGGTTTTCGTCGTCGTCGGTTTCCTCCTCCACCGTCCCGTGGTTTCACATCCTTTTCCGCTTCCTCGCTCCTTCTCCTCCTCATCTATCTTCTCCCCCTCAGCCTTACGGATAATATGTGGTGTTTCCCGGGCCTCTGGGGGGCCTTCCAGGGGCTTGTGGAAGCCACAATATGGGCCCCTTGGGAGGAGGAGGAGGAGGAGGAGGAGGGGGAGGGGGAGGAGGAGGAGGAGGAGGAGGAGGAGGAGGAGGAGGAGGAGGAGGAGGAGGAGGAAGAGGAGTGAGAAGGAGGAGGAGGAGGAGGAGGACGAGGAGGAGGAGGAGGAGGAGGAAAAGGAAGGAGCAGGAGGAGGCGGAGGCGTGAGGAACGAGGAGTGACGGGATGCGTACGTTCCTACCATCTCCCATCCTCCGCCCGACGCGTACGGTCTACTTTGAGTTCCTGAGACTTCCTGAGATGTCGGCCGAGGGGCCTACATCTATTTTGCCAGCCTGCCAGGGGCTGCCCCTTTTTATACTGGCCCGCCAGGGGCCATGTGACGAGGCCCGGCCGGGGCTTCTGTACTTGAGGACCTCTAGAGAGCCTTCTGGAGGTCCAATGCCCGCCGCCGTTTGGCTCTGCGGGCCCCGCAGGGCCCTTGACCAATTTACGGTCTTCCGCCCGGCGGGCGGCTGATGAGAGCTCTGGTGCTGCGCGCTGGAGAGTGAAAAGCATCCTGATCGCTTGGCGACTCCGCCGGTGGTAGCGGAACCCGCCGCTGGCGGCGCAGATCCCTGGGTTCGGCGGCGCCGAGCAGCAGCAGCAGCTCCAGCGGCGCTGGAGACAACTTCCGAGCTCGTCAGCGACGAGTGCGACCCAGGGTTCGACGGCGTCGAGAGGTGATGCAGTATAGGATGATATAGGATGGATCGCGATCGCGACGACCATCCTGGATGTGGCGGCGCCGAGGACTACAGCCTCATTCCGGTCTGGGACGGCCCGCCACAGGGTTGGAGGCGCTATCGTGATTGCGTAGAGATCTGGGCGCTGGGCACCAACCTGGACGTGAACTACTGTGTGGCGGCGCGGCTCGTGAGCCGGCTCAAGGGCGCTGCCAGGAGGGTCGGCCTCAGGATTCCAGGGGAGCGTCTTCAGCCGCTCTAGGCGTCGCTAGCAGAGTATGATGAAGATGGACAGGTGGTCCGCGAGGCGACGGAAGCCGACGACATGAGAGGTATCAATGGCGTGCTCGAGGCGCTGGAGGCGGCGCCAGGCGGGCAGTATGCGAGGTTCGAGGAAGGCGTCCAGAGGAGTGCGGTTTGCGGACCAGGACGACATCCTGGGCACGTGGTTCCTCGAAAAGTGCTGTCTCTCGCCCGAGCGGCGGGAGCGAGTGGTGGAGGCTCTCCCGGAGGACAAGTACTTGTGCAGAGACCTGAAGACGACCGTGTTCAGAATCTTCCCTAACCTACGCATGACGGGGAGCAGACGGACGCCGCATCCTGCGCAGTTCCAGCAGTGAGGCCAGAACCAGCGGTTCGGGCAGCGGCGGCCAGGTCCTGCAGGCCCTGGCACGTCCACGCGCGGCGTGAATGCGACGGAGCTTGAGGGCCACGTGGAGGACCTCGGGGACGAGCAGCAGCAGGACGACGACTACGGCGACGGCCCCGAGGAGCACGAGCACGAGGTCAACGAGGTCGAGGTCTCGGAGATCCAGGGGTTCGCGCGCCAGAAGCTGGAGGCGCCTGCGACGGAGCTAGAGGATAGCCCGCGGGACCTCCCGCCCGAGGACTCCGCAGCGCTGGGGGAGGCGGCGCTCCAGGTGTCGCAGTTCACCGAGGCGGTAGAGGTCATCGGGGACGCGCGTGCACGCATCCAGGGTTGCGTTGGAAGTGACGGCAAGGCGAAAGGTAAGGGCCATGGCAAGTCAGGTGGGCGTTCATCCTCTGGCGCCGGGCGCGGCGGGTTCCGGTCCGCCAAGGGCAGGGAGCTCGCAGAGAAGCTGAGGCAGAGGAAGCTCGAGTCGACCTGCAAGGCTCGCGGACAGCCAGGGCGCTGGGCAGGTGATCCAGAGTGCAAGGCCCCAGCAGGCGACGACTCGGACTCGGTCCACGACGCGCTGTCCGTCGAGCAGGTGAAGGCCGACAAGGCCGAGGCGAAGGAGGCTTTGAGGAG